AGATTGTCCTCTCTGTGGGATCAGAAATGGTTTTTAGATGCAGGAAAATTATACATTAAATGGAGAATGAGAGAGAAAACTGTTTAAATCAGTAGTGGGCTGTAAAAATGTGTTTGCCACTCACAAAGGTGTGTGGGTGTTGGTGTGTGTACGTGCGTGTGCTGCAGCAACACGAGGCTGAGAGACATTTCCACCTTTACACATCTTTAATTAATGACTGTAAACACAGAGGAACTATGAGTTTGGTAGAACTTAGAAAAATATTTATTAAATAGTTGATGTGAAGAAACGAGTCGCAGCGTTTCTGCTGCAGTGTGATTTATATTTTAKAATCAGGAAGTTTCTCATTCAGATCATCTGCATGGCTCCACTCAGAACTACAGTCAAATACCTGACTGTAATTTGTTTGGTGTGACACAAACAAACAAAAAAACAATAAACACGCTGTCCTCAATTCTTCTTGTGGTTAGGTTAGCCTGCAGATCAGTTGACATTGATCCATAAATTACGCACAACTTTACTCAGCAACAAATCTATTGTCTGCATGTTGTGGAGCTGAGGAATCATCACAGCTGAGCTGTTCTCAATTAATCTGCTGAGTTGACAAAGTTTTCTTCTCAGTGAGAATTAAAATGTTTCTTAGACAATTCCTCAGCTGTGTGTGCGCCTCGCAGGCCTGCGCACTGCATGTGTTTCCAACTCGTGACAAAAATATAAAAAGTTTACAGTTTACAGACTGGACTGAGGTTCTTTGATCAGTTTTAAGCTGATCTATTTTCATCTGAGGTTAAATGATTTTCAGTCCCGGGGTTCAGTTTCATCATCGTTCAGTTTAAACAATAAAAACTCAAACTAAAATAAAAATCTAACACCGTGTTCAGACGCTCCTTACATCCAGAAAACACAACAGAGTCATATTTCTGTGGATTCAGGTCAGATTCATGACTGTGAGTTAAAACTGTCGACTGAATAACTTTGCGTGGCTGCTGCACATTCTCACAGCAGGTGAAAAGTGTGCGTAAATATACGCACACTTTAACGCAACGTTGGTTTTATTACATCTCAACRTGGGCGTAGAMCCTGGCGCATGAAACTTTTTTATGCGTACGCAGCGTTTATACATGAGGCCCCTGGTTCTGAGCTAAAGCTGTTTGTTGTGCTCGTCAGGTCCCAGATGGTGCTACCGTAGCTCTGGTGTCGCGCCACACCAAGAGCATCCACCATGACAGCCACGACTACATCGTTGGAGAAAGTGAGTTGGTCTGCTGGAAGGTTCAGGATGTGTTACTGTGAGGCGGGGTTTCTGGGACCTGAACTCCTTGAATGTCTGAGCAGAGACCCCGATGCTGGAGGACGCCGATGAAGGCGGAGTCAAGCTGTGGCACCTGGTGAAAGCCAGTGAGGAGCCTGAGCTGCCCAAACACCGCCGAGGCAGCCTGAGGGAGAGGGAGAGGGCCAAGGCCATCCCCGAGATCTACCTGACCCGCCTGCTGTCTATGAAGGTACACACACACACACACACACACACACACACACACACACACACACACACACACA